TATTTTCTCCTTCATCCTCCTTGTAATAGTTGGATTGACTAGATCTTGTACATGGGCTTTTATCTAATTTTTACTCTAGTTCTCTCTCCAACTTACTGCAATTTTGTTGTAATATATATACTCTTTGTAAAAGATCGAATATTTATTTGATTTATAATTATTAATTAAATACCAGAGGTCCTCGAAGAATGCACTGTGTCATGGATTCAATACCTGCTTCTGCAATTAAACCAGGAGGGGTGGCTCCAACTCAGATAGAGTTCCTGCATGCCAGCCTTGATTCTTTTCCGTCTGTACCATTCTTCAGATCTAAGTCATCACGGATAGAATGTTTGTCAGGATCATTTTCTGGCTTGAATGAGGAAAAGTTGGTTTTGAAGAACAAAAATCCAAGGTGGCATGCACAGCTTCAGTGCTGGTGCCTGAATTTCAGGGGACGGGTAACTGTTGCATCAGTTAAGAACTTTCAGCTGGTAGCTTCTGACGAGATTGGATCAGTCAGCCAAGAGCAAGAGAAGGTAATTCTCCAGTTTGGCAAGGTGGGAAAGGATTTGTTCACCATGGACTATAGCTATCCAATATCAGCATTTCAGGCATTTGCTATCTGCCTCAGTAGCTTTGACACCAAAATAGCTTGTGAATAAAACCAGGTGTGACCATGTTTCCTGCTGACTTATTTTGACTTTGTTGCAATGAGTAAATGTTGTTATGCTTGTTATTTAAGTCTTAGCCCGAATAACTTGAGCCTTTGGTAATCAAGAAGAATATCAAGATGTCATTTGTGTTAGGGCATTCGTATGTTTGGTTTGTGGATCATCATAGTCATTTGCTTAGCCAGTTATCTTGAAGTGCTTCCTCTTGCTTGATGGCATCTCCATGATTTTTTGGATACATTGAAAATGAAAACTAGGGCTGTATTCTGAAATAGCTGATTAATTTATCGTACCTTTATTTATTAGTTGAAAGCCCAGTGGTCAAAATCATGATGCGGATGAACAACAACTACCTTTCCTTCACATCCATGATCTGTCTCTGACCTGTTGAAAGTGTAGATTAATTGTCCTTTCATGTAGCTTTTTATCTGTTGACATAACATTGAACAGCTAAATGCACATATATTAGTTGAAGTACCTTGACGTCTAAGGTACGACCTAAGTTGATTGTGATTGAGAGTCACAATTAATTGTTTCTGTTCCCTCACCAGACTTGATACTCATTGGTTGTACAAATGGTGCATTACACTAACAAGAGAACAAGTTAGTAAAATTTTGCTGAAGAAGGTTGGAGTGTCATATAGTATTGGTTTCATAATAACTTGCTTTTCTACCAAAAGAGAAAAAAAATAAAAAGGTGAAATTGTTCATTTTATGATGTTAGTTTTAGATGTGTTTTATCTGGAAAAGAAACCTCAGTTGTTTTAGGTGATGACCATCTGAGCAAAGCTTTGGAGAAAAAGCAGGGCATTGGTGTAATTTTAATAGTGCATAGTAGAAATAGCAGTTTGATTGGTATCAATCTCTTGAATAGCAATCTGATGCCAGTGCAAGCAACTGTTCCAATAGCATGCTCAGATCTTGCTTGTGCCCCAACTGATTTGTAGGTCATCTGCTGGTTGTGTTGGAATTAATGGCTTATATTTGTTGAAATGTAGTGAATGCTGTTATAAGAATTCTCTGGTTTCATTGGCTTGTACTTAGTAGTGTAATCTGTCATTTTAGGTTGGCTTAAATTCTAAACTGAGTGTAATCTTTTGGCTCTTCCTTTTGTTGCAGAGACCTGCATTAATCCATTTGTTCCGTTGGTGCTTCTTCACTAGAATTCAGCAATGAAGTATCTATCATTTGCGGCCATGATTACCAGTTTAAGTTGATTAACCCAAGCTCTGCTATGGCAGGTAAACCTCCAAAAGCCTTCCCGGTCGTGTAGTACTTGCCTCTTGTGGTTAAAAACTTGAAAGTCTTTAGAAGCTCCTACAGCAATTCAGATACCAGCTAACTTTTTTATAAGGTGGTATGTTCCTGTTGTTTTTCCTCCTATGAGGGTACCATTTTTCCACCTTGGTTGAAAGTAATGTAATTCTCCAAAATCTATGCTATCACTTACTCAGTTGCTCAAGACCAGTATCCATGTGAACATGCACCAATTGCTTCAAGTTGAACAAGTTGCACATCAACAGTGGGAGAAAGAGATGCATGCAATGTGGGACACTGGTTTTCTGGAGGTTCTCTTTCTTCATTTCTAAGATCTCTATTTCCCAACCTGCAACAAAGTAAGTTCTATCAAGATCAAATTTGGAAAGAGGGAAAAAAAAATCTACTGAGCTCTAGCATGAAGATGCAAAGGGGCATCGTATGGTCTCCTCAAGTTGAGGCCTTAAAAACCAATTGACCAGAACTCCTTCCAAGTCTCTTGCACTAATGGATGAAGTATTTGTTTAGCTTGTTGAAAACTTACCATACAGTGATATTGCTTGCCCTGGCAGGAGCACATATGCTACTTCACTGGGAAGATGAAATGGCAACAAACTTAAGCTTTTTAGACCTTATATGCTGCCACTTATAATAATGTAGAAATCACCTAGCATTGCTTCATTATAAGTATGACATAAAATTAGATGATCTCCATCAGATGTGTTAATTGATACACCCATGAATGGACGCAAGTCATCCAAGATGCGGTACACGGTGTACCATCTTCCCAACTTTAGATTGTACTCTTCTTCTTTTCTTCATGAACTGAATCAAAGTTCAAAGTATCAAATTCGCTGATGTGACAATAGGTAATGTAGATTATTGAGGAAGAGAAAAAATCATTAAACATGACTTGTGGGCAACCATACGAGGACATAATACAAGTGTAATCGTACACTATATAATTGTTTAAATCAAAGTATAATTATAAAACATAAGTAATACGCTATGCAATTTGATCTATCAAATTTGTAGGTTAAATTTTTTTTGTAATATTTAATTAAGATTAATCCATTTTTCTTATAAATTTATTGGCATGGAAGAGGCACGGCAACTACATTGGCGCAGGGCCACGTGCTATGGTGCGAATCTTGAAGCCCAGCCCGGCCAAGTCTTTTAAGGCTTCGGCCTGCCAGGGAAGAAACCCTAATTCCGATCTAAAAGCGATCCCCTGCGCCGTCGATCGATTCCATCTCCTTCCTCTCTCTTCGCAAATATATATAAAGAACCAGATCGTTTGCTCAATTATTGGCTGGTGTTTGTTGGGGATGAGTTCTCGTCTCATCTTTAACTTCTTTGATTCTTTCTGGCTTGCACTTATGGATTTATTTGTTGGCTGAAGGTCTTTTATCTGAGTGATGGGATTGTTCTTGTTTATCTTTCAGTATGATCATCGGATTTGTGTGCAAAACATGTTCGAAATAACGTTTTTCTCGGGGTTTATGCTTTTGCGTTTCGAATGATGTTGTCGTTGGTCTTATTGGTACAATCCGTGGATATCTGTGGGGAATTGATATGTTTGGTGTCCGAAAATGTGGTTCTTTGCTCAGCGGTTGTCTCTGCCTAGTAAAATATGTGTTTTACTTGAAATGAAATTTAAGGGACTTTTCTTGGGTTTGGGTTTTCTGTTTGGAATGCTTTGCTGATGATGATAGCTTTAGGCATGAGCCCCAACAACATCTGCGCTCCAGGATCGTTGATGCCTGGGTTGTTGTTTGCAAGGATGAATGTGCCAAAATGCTAATCTGAGGTCTTATTGTTCAGATGTCTAGGATTCAGAAATTTCTCCATTTTTTAATCTATCTTTTCAATTATATAGCCAGGGTAAGTGTTGCTGATGATGGTAGATATAGGCATGAGCCTCAACAACAACTGCGCTCCAGGATTATTATTTGCCTGGGTTGTGTCAAGGATTGAGCAAATTCATTGTTTTTACACTTGTTTTGTACTCTGTGGCGAGGAATACAATGTAGAAGATGTCACTGAATCCTCCGAACAATAAATGCTAAAATACAATATGTATCTAATGGATCTTCATCTTGTTGTGTAAAAGTGAAAATTAGTCGTGTCTGATTCAACAACATTTTGTGGAAAAGATCGAGTCATACTTTATTTGACAAAATATGCCTAACTAGTTTGGTTCCAGACACTTTCAGATAATGCTAAGATATAGTCTTACAAGGTTGACACATGAACCAGAAAGAAGTCTGTAGATACTCATGGTGTTGAATGCTAGACGAATTGATGTAAAGCCATTCTAGCATTTGAACAATACTGAGTTATAGATCAGATTTTGAATGGCTTTCCCAGAAATAGATCTTTTTTTGCTTTTAATAAATATCTTCCCACCGTATCTTTTTATGTGAAACCATAAATATGTAGGAGCTCATGATAAGAATGATGCTTATTTTGCCTGGGATTATTTATCATTTTCCCAAAGTATTTTCTATCGATCTTTTGCAATATGCCTTGGATGTATTCTGCAGCTGCAAGATAGCTGTAAGAATTTATGCATTGAATTTAGAAAAAAGAAGTGTCATGGATAGCTGAAGTAAACTCATAGCTGAACTGTCAAAGAGCATATGCTGTAGTACGACAATTTACCTGGGAATTTTGAGCGTATAGATGACATTGGATATTCAAACAATGAGCATGAAATTTTAGTATATCTTCAATGCATATGACTTTTATATTTTGGCATATGTGACCTAATTATAATTGTATAGAAAAAGATAAAACAGTATTCAATTTTAGCATATGTGACCTAGTCAAATCTTTGTCAGCTGATATGATATTAAGATTTCATTTTTATAAAGTTCCTTGGGAAAGAAGATACAATTCTCCGAATTCTTGAAGAATCCTGACTTCTCCTTTTGGTTCCTGCCTTTTGCGGTTAGGTTGGATATGTGGTTAGCTGGGACTAGAACTTCATTGTTAGGTGGATACAGGAAGTATGCTTAATCTAATAATGTATCATATTTTGTGTATTTGTGTAATTTGAAATTTTGGTTTATTCTTTATTTTAACATGTAAAGCATATTAGAAAAGTTTATATTTCATTTTCTTGCAGTTGATTCTAAAAATAGTGCATTGTTAGGTGGATATAAGAAGTATGCTTAATCTAATAATGTGTCATATTTTGTGTAATTTGAAATATTGGTTTATTCTTTATTTTAACATGTAAAGCATATTAGAAAAGTTTATATTTCATTTTATTGTTCCTCTTGCAGTTGATTTTAAAAAGTGTATCATAACCTAATATGCGTACTAAGGCATGCTATTTTTTGCTCATTGTGAGCTATGAGGAAGAGTGGTTGAAGACCAACAGTTTACAAGTGAATGGTAGGTTTTATTTGCAGATGTTAGGTGAGGTCTACTCCCTGCTCGATGGCTTTATAAACCCAGTCCATCTTGAAATAAAGCCATGAGTTATTCATTGTCCCGCGGGTTTGCATTCTTACCATTTGGTCGTAGTTTGTAAGAAGGATTGATCACATGGGACCTGGTGGACCCCCTGGCCCAGGCCCAGGCCCAGGTTGGGGTCCTGGACCTGGGGGCCCTGGGCCTTGCGGGCCTTGCTGCGATTTACTCTCTTCATGGTTAGTTATTTTTTATTATCTTGCTGTTTGACATTTTATTCTCCATACAATATTTTCTTAGATCTTGCTCTGTATCATGTTTCATGTTGACGTCACTCCAACATAGTGCAGCATTGGTTTATTTAAGCAGTATCTCAGTAGAACAACGCTGTTCTATTTGTTAACTTGCATCTTTTGTTTGTCTTTTTTCTAGTTTGTATCCTTGCCAAAAACAAAGAAAAACATTATAAACTCCAGTCCTTTCTTGCAATTATAACTTTTGGATTATTAGTTACCTGATTGCTTAATGCTTTAGGTATGGTTTAGTTGTCTTTCTAGATATTTATCATTTCTTTTATGTAGGTCAAACTACTGCTTTTGCCAGATTTCCTGTTTAAGGACTTAAAAGAGTGTTCGTTTCTTGATTGCAGTTTTTACTTCCTCTGCTGCTGCTGCTTGCTTCGGGACTGCTGTGGCCCGCTATTTGGGCGACCTCCTGGCCCTCCCGGACCACCTGGACCGCCCTTTTAACATGCAGTTGGACTAAATGGAGTCCTAATAATAATGGGGGGTATCAGTAAACGGCTCCTCGGAATCAGTCCGTGTTTTTGTGTACTAAAATGATCCTTTCACGCCAGTATATTATTGCTTCTGTTGCTTGGTAATGGAGGTTGATGAGTTCTTGTCGAGGAAATGGTAATGGATGATGCAGTTATCTTCATTGAATCAATGGATATTGTTGGCATTGTGTAATATGCTCTGTGCTTTGACTTCAGAAGCTGTTTGCATCGTGCGATAACATTACAGGTTACTGATTACAACTTAGCAGTCACAGATCAGTCTTTTTTTTACTATTGATATATTTTTAAAAATAAAACATTATTCTATTACTTACTCTTTTAATATTATCGATTTTATTTTTTCATCCGCATAATCAGTAAGTTGAAGAAAAAGAAGGATAAGAGGAGGAGAAAAATAAAATAGTATTTAAGTTTATTCATAATTTTAAAATATTAAAATTTTTAAAATAAAATTATAAATGTTGAAGAGGAGATTACTAAATACTAATCTGCAAATGGTCAAATGACCAATGGACTTTGTTGGTTGAATTGGTTGCCCAATGTATCTTATTTAGCAATAAGAAAAAGAGAAAAATTATTGCATCTTTCTTCATTTTCGCTACATATATATATATATATATATATATATATATATATATATATATATGCTTCATCAAAATGCTTCTATTGTTGTTTGATCGAACATGATCAAGAAGAAAATATGGTAACCATTAAAAGGCACCGAACAAGCAAGCTCCATGAGGCGGTCAAAATAATACCCGTGGATCTCAACCGTCCATCAAGAGCCTAATGTGAATCTCGATGGCACATCCCAACACTCCGCTGGTGGCCCCACTCTTTCTCAACTCCGCCTGACCTTCGACGCCGTCGAGGCAACCGCTGCGACTCCTCCGATAAATCACATTCTAACTCCTCGTTTCGCCAACCTCCGCTCCCCCTCCTCCCACTCCTCTGTTCGCCCCTGTCGCCCCTCCTCTCTGTTCGACGCGGGTGTCGGCTAATTATATATTATCTCATATAATTAGAGTATTTTAACATTCCAATCGTTAAGAGTTAAAAATTTATATATGAATATCTTTTTAACGATAAAAAATATAACATATGATAACATTTAGATATGAAAACGATGACAAACAATTAATTTTAATATTCTAGTTATAGTTTTAGTGATGACAAATGATAATACCACAAGGGGTCACAAGTAGCTGTGGTCGGTGAGAATGTTAGGAACTTCTACAACGACAACGTAGATGCCAATGCTTTGCATCTACGTCGACATCACTCAACAATTGCGTCGACGTCGATAACAATGTGGGGAAGGATGATGCTCATCCTTCTTCTCTCCTTCCGTGATCCCTCATCATTCTTCCCCCTTTCGTTGCACAGCATGCGCAAGGGCGGAAGAAGTATGAGCGATGCAAAATGATACAGTGTTGTCGGGCATTGCTCATCATTCTTCCCCTTTGTATCTGCATCAATGCCGACGTAGATATATAGTGTCGCTCAATATCTACATTGGTGCCGATGCAAATGCAAAGCGACATCGCTCTGCATTTGCATTGGCGCCACTCTACATATACAGGAAAAAATGCTCGGCATTCGCTCTACATTTGCATCGGTACCACTCTACATATGCTGAGAAGAAGGGCTACTCAATATCTGCATCGACACCACCGAGATAGATGCAGAATTCTATTGTTGGACATATGCATCGACCCCAACAACAATATAGCGAAGGGCAATGCTTATCCTTCTTTCTCCCTTTCTTGGTCCCTCATCATTTTTCTCCCTTTGGTCGCTTGGCATGCGCAAGGGAGAAAAAAAGAACGAGTGATGCATAACGTTATCGGTGCTGAGCAGATGCAAAGTGATTGCTTTGCATCTACGTTGGCGATGATGCAGTTGTTGAGTGGTGCTCTGTATTTACATCTGTGTCTGAGGTAAATGCTAAGTGACGCTCTGCATTTATATTTATGTTGGTGTTGACGTAGTTGTCAAGTGGAACTGACACATATGCAGAGCATCGATATATGTATCGTCTTCATCCTCCTCATCTCCTAAAAAGCCGTAGAAGTTTCTAATGTTCTCGTTGACCATTTCATTGTCGACCATAGTCACCTACAACCTCTAGCAACAATATCGTCCTCCATAAAAAAAAATAATAATTAAAATATTAAAATAATTATTTTATCTATCGTTTTTTTTTGTTATTTTTGTATGTATCATCTTTCACCTTTCGTCGATAAAATTAAATATTATATTTTCATAATTATAAAAATTATTATGTAACCTTTTAAGCCTACGACGGTATGCTAAAGTGTTACAGGGCTAATATGTAATTACACCCCTCCCGAAGGGCGAGAGCGTCGTCGTCGTGGAGCTCGACAAGGCGGACATGGACGTCGAGACCTTCTACGACGGCTACCTCGCTGCAATTATGGTCGAAGAGGGTGCCGTGGCCCCCGTCGGCTCCGCCAACGCCCTCCTCGCCGAGTCCCAGGACGAGAACCCCCTTCGCTAAAACCCAAGCCTCCTCCTCCTCCGCCACTGGCGTTTCCGCTTCTCCTCCTCCCGCTCAAGCACCCGCCTCTCCTCCCCTGCGAACCGTAGCGTCTCCGAAACCCTCGCCGGCGGCCGCTTCTTCTTCGACTCACTCGGCGTCGGACGGTGGGCAGCGGATACGCTATGAAGCTTGCTAAGGATCTAAAGTTGGACCTGACTGGGTTGTCTGGAACCGGACCAATGGGGAGAATCGTGGCCAAGGATGTGGAAATTGCCGCTGCAAGTGCTGCAGCCATGCGGATCGCTCCACCGAAGGTCACAGTGGAATCTCAATTGGCGAAGTCTCCTACTTCTCCAGCCATCGAATTGGGCACTGTGGTTCCATTCACCACAATGCAGGGTGCTGTTATCGAAAACATGGTCGATTGCCTCTCACTTCCGACGTTCTGGGTGGTTATACGATCACAACGAATGTCCTTGATGATCTTTACAAGAAAGTGGGTATTTTCTCAATCCCCAATTTCCTAAAGGAGCGATTTTTGATCGAGCTGTTATTAATTGCCCAGAGCTGCTTCGGGTTTGATGGGTGTAGACTAAGTCAAAGGGGTGCCACCATGACTGCATTGCTAGCAAAGGCTACTGTTGCTGCAGAGATGGTAAAAGCTTTATCTACAACAGCAGCATCAACATTGCTGTTGCTGTGGCCATTGATGGAGGGTTAATCACACCAGTCCTTCAGGGTGCAGACGAGGTACTTCCACTCTCCTGTGATCTTGATTGGAGTCTTTGGACTTCTTATTTAAGGTTTGAATGCTGGATGTATAGGTTGATATCTACTCATTGTCAAGGAAATGGAAGGAATTGGTTGACAAAGGAAGACCGAAGCAGCTGCAACCTCATGAGTATAACACTGGTACCTTCGATTCTTCTCCTATTGTACAGATAACTAGTCCAGTTAAGTTATTGCTAAATTGGAGTTTCAGCACTTTTGCAATAACATATAATATAATTTATTTAATTTAGAAACTTCCTTAAGACAATTGAAGATGTCAATGTATATGTACCATCCCTAATCATGTGGATTTCCATTTTCAAAGCTCCATCTGCAAGTTGTCATTGTTGAGACATCCTAGTAGTTAGTGCACTTTTGCACAGTTGATAGATCTCATATTCTGAGTCCACTCGTGAACATCTTATATGTTGTCTAATGAAATAAAAGGAAATGAATTTTTTTTAAAAGCTCCGTCTGCAAGTTCAAAATCATATTTAGGGTGTTTCTGGACAAGGTCCGTTATAGATTGAATATATATATATATTTTTCTATTGGGAGTTCATACATCAGAAGGAATACATTATTCTGTCAAAGAGCTATTTGATGGTTGCAGTATTAAAAATCTTCTTTTGATGTCTGATGGCCATATTTTCAACATAAGGAGCTATTTGACTCATAAACACTCCAAACATCTGTAAGTCATGTTAATACCTAATAGAAACCCATCACACTATGCTGCTATCCACTATACTGAAATCTCCAAGATGCATGCTTCTATTTGTAAAAGTTTCTCTGCTTAAACACACAGTTATCAGTTGGGTTCATCATGTGCAAAAAATAAGTCAGAGTTTGGAGCATGTGAATGGGGAATGTGCATAATCATTAAGTCAGAGCTGGCTTCTAATTATTGAGGAACATATTCTGAAACTTGAGGATGTAACTTTATTCTCATAAGCATATGGGATGCTCTAAGTAGTTTTAAATATATAATGGTGTATTTTATCTTATCAAAGCTCCAAGTTCCATGTTCTTATTAAGGGAAAGGACTCCTGTATGACCTTACATTTTTCAGAAGCTCTTTCATGGTTTGCCAATCTTATAGAATGGAACATTACCCTACCCAGTGAAGGGCTTAAGGCAACATAAATGTGGATCAGTATCAGTAAAGCAGAATGAATTTTATCAATTCATATACAATTCAAAATGTAAATTGAACTTTGAAACTTATTGATAAAATTCTCTTGGGTCAAATTAAATATAATGCGATAGTTGTGATATATAATGGATGAAGATACATATACAAAGTCTAACTAGTTCATTTACTGGAGGAAAGTAAACATCCTTCTTTGGTTCGGTTCAAAAATGTTAAAGATCATTGAAACTAAAAGGAGGATGGAGAAAGAAGCTTCTTATCAGGCTACTAGTTTAAATCAGAATTTTTTTTTGTATGATGCCCATCAAATGTCACCGGAAAAAATTGCACGTCATTACAATTGATATGATTAATTTTTTGTTTCTTTATGTTTATGAATCTTCAGTCAATCCCAAATAGCTAATTGGTAATAGCAACTAGGAACATTTGCTTTCTTCTAGCTCATGTATGAGAGTGACATCATTGCACTTGTGACATTACATAAAATTATAATGTAGCCTTTGGTATATTATCCAGTTGTACTTTTTGCACTTCTGACTTCTCAAGATCTTGATTTCTTCTGTTTTTTTGGGCTTCCTTTTCTTTCTTTTTTTTTTTTTTTTTAAAATTTATGTGTTTACCACCTTCATTTTACAATTTTTTTAGGAATACATATTTTTAATTTTATTCATATTTTTCAAATAATTATATATTTTCCTACATTTCTGCTGTTCTTTTCTTTTTTCGGTTGGCATCCATCATATACAAATGCTTCTGCTGTACTCGCGTCTCCTTTTTTTCTTACTACTCTTTTGATGGTATTAGTGTGCCAACTCTTTCTTCAGTCTGCAGGTACATTTACTCTTTCAAACCTTGGGATGTTTGGTGTTTTTGATGCAATTTTACCTCCTGGAATTGTAAGCATTGATCCTAAGTGAATAATCTGAAATATTTTAATTGATTTACTTACAGAGTGAGAGATTTTATATTTTTTCCCTTTTATTTCATAATGGACTTTACTACAGGGGGCAATCATGGCTGTCGGTGCATCTCAACCAACTGTTGTTGCTACCGAGGATGGTAGGATTAGTTTAAAGAGTCAGATGCAGGTAAATCTTACTTTACAAACAGTAACCCTGTTATGGATCCTCTTAACTATCTTGAAATTATTTAGTTTGGCTTACTACTAAAGCATAAAAGTGAAATCCTTGCAGGTGAATACTGCAGATCACTGTATCATTTATGGAAGGATCCCAAAGATCTCACCCTCTTAAGTGCTGCTAGAAAATTAGTGAGTAGAGAAGCCATTGCATGCTCGATTTTATTATTATCTGCAGATTAATGTGAAATTGATTTTTTTTCATTCAACCTTCTCATTCTTGAGCATTTTTATTGTCAGTGACATTGATATTCCAATAAAGTTTTGTTGAGCCAAGCAGGTTTCAGTATGTTGTGACATTTGTGTTTCTACTTCATAATGACTTCCAAGTGTGCCATCTTTTAATCTGTTTGGAAAGTGTTCTATGTTGCCTTGTCATAACAATTACAGATTAGCAGTAATCCCGAGTGGTTGACCAGCCTTTGCGTCAATCTGTGAGGTGTAGATTATAGCTTCTTATCTTCCAATATCATTGATCCCCACAGATGGGATCGGATCTGAGGGAATACGAAGAGGCCTCGACTCTTCGATTAGGAGGGCTCTAATAAGATCCTTCTTAGTCTATTAGTTAGAGATGGAGGCGATGCCTTTTCAATTAGGAGCTCTTTAATAAGATCATATTTAGTCTCATGTTGACTGAACAGTTGACTGAAGACTTAGATAATTTCTTCATTAATTTCGAGAGGATAAAACGATATAATAAATTCTTCATGGCTAGTTTGGATCTTACCATCATAAACAACAATTTGGCACAATGAAACATATGAAAACAGTAGAATCAATTCTCCATGGCCGGTGTGGATCTTATCAATCATAAACAATTGATTTGGCACAATGAAACCTTTGAAAACACATTGCTTCGTGTGCAGGGCAGACAACTATTTCTCATTTCCTTTGACTTTCTCATCCTCCCATTGCCCCCTATTCTGCTCTTCCAGTCTGCTGGTAGATCACACTGATGCTGTTCATAAAGCCCACCAAAGTTTGCTAATGGATTCGAGTATAAACCACAGATGTCTGGCAATATATAAATCTAAGATCTGCTGTTACATCACTCTGCTTTCTGAGTGCTGAAACAAGGACCAACACTATCAAGGAAATAGAGATACAAGTGTGATAGATACTATCTTACAATGGTGGATATTAACAATTCTGAATGGTAAAACAGCAGTTCAATACCAAAAGAACACAGCTATCACCAGCATAACTAGTGCATGACCAATTCTGAGCAACAAGAAGAAACCTTTAGCTGCCTTTGCCGAGCAACAACTACTTTGCATTGAACAGCAACCTCAACGCATTTCGCATCTTCGGCCTTGCCTCCGGCGACGCACTGACGCATGCTAGGGCAACCTTCAGAATCGAAAGCATCTGACTTCGAACAGCCAACGACGTTTTCGCGATTTTAGGATCAAGGATCTGCTCTCTTTCACTAGACCTAGCTGAGTGGCTCAGTGCCCATTTGGCCAACTCAAGTCCATTGCTCACTGCTGGTTTCCCAGTCAGCAGCTCCAGTACAATGACCCCAAAACTGTAGACATTCCCGGCCATTGTCACCGTCATGGTGTATGCGTACTCTGAAACCAAAAAAATGAATCCATGATATTAGACAATCAGAATACCTAAGCCTCAATTCAGAAAACATTTCATCTAAAAAGAAGTGGCTAGATATATAAAAACCTGTAGTATATAGAAATAATTCATTGTGTTTCTGATTTATAGATATTACAAAACATGAGGTGCCATGGATCAGCCCCAGTATAATTTTCTTCTGTAAAACAAGCAGAAATGATTGTCTATGATACCTTTTTCTCAGAGTGCTTCTGATCTTATCATGCATGGAAGTTATAAATAAAGAGGAATTAGCTCATCGAAAGAGGTAGATTAGTTGGAACTCTTCAATGAATGCAAATTAGTACAGAGGAGAGTAAAACATGACTGATTGCAACTTGATATATAAAAAGCATTCATATTGAGAAAGGAAAATACTAAGCACAACACGCAGCAATAGTTCGTCTAACCATAAGAAATCTAAAGGATAAGAACATTAGCTTTGCTGTCTCACCTGGAGGAATATATCCAACCGAGCCAGCAACAGTGGAGAGACTCCCGGAACTCTTCGAAGGATCAATAACTTTGCAGAGCTCGATGTCCCCTATCTGAGGCTCCTTAGGTGACTTCATGTGGATCGTCTTTGTCGATAGATCAAGCAGAAGAACTGGCTGCGTGCACCCATGGAGAAATGTCAACCCTTGAGCTACCCCTAGCATTATGCAGTAACGAGAGGGCCAATCCAAAACATTCACCAAGTTCTTGTGAAGGAAATCGAACACAGTCCCCCTGTGCACATGTTCATAGAACAGGTACGCGCTGTCTTCGGTCAACACATACGCCAAGGGAACCATTACATTTGAGTTGCTCAGCTTTCCTAACACCTCCAGTTCTTGGCGGAATCTTTCATGGCTTCCCATTTGGAAAATCTTGTCGGTCCAATTCAGTTTCTTTATGGAGTAGCTAACCCCGTTTGGCATGACAGCCTTGTAGTAGGTAGAGAATCGAGTCTTCAGTATGATTTTTCTTGGATTACTGGCGACTTCCATTGTTTTGGAGAAGTCGATACTCGATCTGTGTATACTGTTTGCAGTCACAAAGCAGCCATTAACAATCTGAAGATTGCTTTCTCCAAGTTGTGGACTTTCGTCTTCCACCCGATAAAAGCGCTTGGAAGAGATTAGCAGAACAACCACTGCCGCCAAGATTAAGACAGCGACCATGGAGATAACCACGACGATGATCACAATAGGTGACCTCTTTTTTCTTGACCTGGATGTGTTTTGGCTTTCGGATGAGTTTATGAGATACCTGTTCCCAGAGGTGATGACCGTAACATAATTTCTAAATGCAGGACGAATTCCAGAAAGATTATTGTTTGACAGATCTAACAGTGTCAAGCTTCTCATGCCTGCTAAAAACCTTGGAATCTCACCAGTAAAACCATTGTCTGAGAGATCAAGAACCTCCAATTCTGTTAAAGCACCGAGAGAGGATGGTATGGATCCACTGAGTAAGTTATGACTGAGGTTAAGAGCTATCCTCAAGTTAGCAGGCATTGTAGGAACTGTTCCACTCAGCCTGTTGCCTCCCAGCCGCAGTTCTATCAGAGATGACATGTTACCAATGGTATCGGGTATAGAACCATTGAAATAATTACCTTCTAAGATCAAGTTCGAAAGACTCTGTAATCTGGAAATTGCGGATGGGATCACACCAGTGAGGGAGTTTTGGCCTAGATCTAGTACGCTCAAGTTGACCTGCAATTCGAAGAACGTATCAGGGATGCCGCCACTGAGACTGTTATTTTGAAGCTTCAATACAACCACCTTTCTAAGGCTACCCAACACCTCCGGCAATTCGCCATGAAAACGATTGGATGCAAGATTTAAGAGCGTCAGATTCTTGCAGCTGCCGATCTGTGGATGAATCTGCGAGTCCAAATTATTGTCATTCAGCTCCAAGTACGTCAAATTGGAGAGATTCCCAATCGTTTCTGGAATGGTCCCATTGAGTGAATTCCCACCAAGCCGCAATCGGTAGAGATTATGAGACAGATTATTAGGAATATGACCTTGAAGCTTATTGTTTGTCAGATCCACGGACACCAGATTAGGAGCTGAGAGAAGGTCCGCTGGTATCTCCCC